AAAAAAGGCACTTTTGTGCTTCTTTTTAGGATAGCTACTTTCTGAATCGAATGAACACTGACACAACCAAGGCACTGTAAATTAATGCCATCCAGGGTTTTTTTAATGTTCCTGTGAAATGAAATCTTATAAGTATTCAGATATAATTAATTAGCCTCCTTGGTAAATAACGTGCATGACACAATACTAAAGTTAATATCAAACAAATATACTAATTATGCCATGTATGCTCACCGTAATTAATTAGAAGATTCTCCAAAATGAAACGAAACCATGACGGGCAACTTGCTTTTTTTTCAGTTGCATCAAAATGAACACTCTTCCATTCTTATTTATCATCAATCTGTAAAAATTGAGAAGAAAAACAAATAAACTACATTATTAAACAATTAAAACACGAAATACAATGAAAGTATGCACCGAAAAGCAAATAAAATTTCAAAATTTTAAAAATGGCGACGTAACGTCGTTTTTAATAAAAGATGGCAAGAGATGGACAAGATCGTGTAACCGTGTAACACAGCAAGATCTATAAAATCCATAGATTCATAAATAATTGTCAATTTATGCTGCGGATATATAGATAACCATGAAGGAAAAACCTATAGAGCCTAGATGGAAAAGCAAATCACCAAGTCAACATTATGTATTTTACGTCTGTTCTTACTATAAATATTCTTCCTCACTTCCCTAGAATCTTTAATCGATGTTCTCTTTGAATATTTGTTCTCTATGAACTCTCATGATACGAGTCGACAAATGTAGTGGCGCTATAAGCGCTAATTTGATTTTTTCGGAAAAAATTTAGATAAACTGAAATTTTGTAATACATACAATTCTAACAAAATAACGGGTGGTTCGACATTCTATTAACAAAAAAAGTAATATATGTTCGCCACCGCATGCATAATGTGCCAGGAAATCTTATGTTGGGAAAATTGACAATAAATTAATAATACACAATATTAATTGTACTGTATATGCTCACCTTAATAAAATCGAAAGAGAATTTTAATTTTGCATGCAAGGATGTTAAAATGAACATAGCTTTCCTTTTTTATTAGACCATTTGTCAAGCACAAATGCCACGCAACAATTGGTGTCAATTAAATTAGCATATCTTCAGTAGTTTTTGAATCTAAAACCGAAACAATTTTCCTTTTTTTTAACAGAACTAATAGACGCACAATTATGATACGTATTTTAATCCCGCAAACGACGCACAATTTATTGATAAAGTTTGAACAGTGGATTATGTATATCGTGCGTCAGATTCACACGGTTACCGTCGTAGCTTTATAACCATTTTATAACCGTTAACCTTATCTATGCTTACAGTATGCTACTCTATGAACATATGAACGTCATACGATAGATAATCATATGAAGATGCTTGAAAAAACATATTAATTACACGTATAATTAAGAAACATAAATAAAAAGCAAGTAAAAATAGCTCAATTATAAAATAACAAGCGTTACTTTCACGCCATTTTACATTACAACCACAGATCACGACATAGAGCAACTAATATTATAAATGGCATGCATTATCACCTTAATTAACTGCAGAAAGTATCTTTTTAAGGTTCACAGATCGAATGAACAAGCCAAATCCAGGAGGAATACCACTGCAGACTATTCGTTGTTTCAGTTTTCAAATTAATATCCAGATGCCTCCTCCTCACAGGTTCAAAACTATGTTGCAAGGGTAAGACGTCAAAAGCATCAGCTCTTTCAGTACCATCAGAATTAATTCCTTTTCACTTGGACAATCTATAGAAACGGGCAAGAAAACGTTAATTACAACTTCTAAAGCATGTAAATCAGTAATATTTTAATGTGGCAATGTGGTGTTAAAGTTAGAAGCTAACTATTGTGCTGATGGAATGGCCAGTTCCACATTTTGCTTTTGCCGCTTCTAAAACGTCGTTAAAAAGTTGTCTGATGAAAGTAAGTTACAAATGCTTAAGAAATTGAAGTTTCTGGGATCTGGATTAATATTTTTAATTGATACAGTTTACTCACCAGTTTATTCGTCATAAATCCTTCCTTCATCAATGCCACAATGTATCCCTTCTCAATGGAAAAAAGGCACTTTTGTGCTTCTTTTTAGGATAGCTACTTTCTGAATCGAATGAACACTGACACAACCAAGGCACTGTAAATTAATGCCATCCAGGGTTTTTTTAATGTTCCTGTGAAATGAAATCTTATAAGTATTCAGATATAATTAATTAGCCTCCTTGGTAAATAACGTGCATGACACAATACTAAAGTTAATATCAAACAAATATACTAATTATGCCATGTATGCTCACCGTAATTAATTAGAAGATTCTCCAAAATGAAACGAAACCATGACGGTCAACTTGCTTTTTTTTTCAGTTGCATCAAAATGAACACTCTTCCATTCTTATTTATCATCAATCTGTAAAAATTGAGAAGAAAAACGAATAAACTACATTATTAAACAATTAAAACACGAAATACAATGAAAGTACGCACCGAAAAGCAAATAAAATTTCAAAATTTTAAAAATGGCGACGTAACGTCGTTTTTAATAAAAGATGGCAAGAAGATGGACAAGA